CTTCACAGCTCCCTCGATTAGCAAGCTTATCAATCTACCCGTTGTGGTGCAATCAATTTGGATTGCTGGGTGCTCCTTCCTTTTAGCTAAGCTTTGAGTTCTTTTCGAGAGAACAAGGGTCTAAGGGGGTTTGATTCAGACGAAAAGGAGGATATTTTGGCGGATTTGGAACGCTTCTAGAAGCTACGACGCATGCTCTTTGCGATCGGTAGCTTCGGCGAATTTTTTGGTTTTTTTTCAGCAATTCCACCCGTGAACCATGGTTCACGACTGAATTTTTTTATTTTTTCCTTCCTCTGTCAGGTACTTTTGAGAGAGCTGGGACCGCTCTCTAAGGGGGTAGTGTGACAGCCTGCCTCGTTACTTGCATCAGCTGATCACCCATCCAGGCCTAGCGCCTGTGGCCATGTATATAGACCTTCCTGAGCTCCCCGAGCTTCCTGTTTTCCTCTCCTCACTTTGTATTCTAAGGTCAGAATTCATCAGTTCGTCACAATAAAAACGAAAATATCTAAAACTTCTTACTTATTAAAAAGAGCTATAACGATACTTATACGGCAAAGAGTTTAAAGACGGAGCTTTTATAAAGCTAAATAATCTAAAAAAAAAGAACTATTAAAAAGTGATTCTCGAAAGCGAAGCTAAATCAAAACTTATACCTTTTAAGTAAGTGTTTATATATAAGACTAGCTCGTCCGAAAAAATCGTAAAGTTTAGATCGAAGATTATTATTAAAAGTGACTTTTAAAACGAATCTATTATTTATTTAATATACGCGGCTACGCTAATAGCTAGATCTTTTAAGATTATAATAACTATAGCAGCCGAATTTAACTTAAAAGTAAAACAGTTCGATATCGTTAACGCTTTTATTAACATTATAAGATATACGGATAGCGTTTTAATCACGTGTTATTTCTTTAACGGTTTTAAGCAAAAAAGTATGCTCGTAAAAGTCGATAAAGCTTTATATAAACTTAAAAACTCGCTAGCTTTATAATATTTCGACTTTACAAGCACACTCGATAAATTAAAGCTTATACTACTCGATAAAGAACTATGTATTTTTACGAATTTAAATAAGACGGTCTTTATAGCGTTTTACGTAAACGATATTCAATTTATATACTATCACTTTAATCTTTTTAAAGCGTAAGAGATTATTAACGGTCTTAATAAAGCGTATAAGATCGAAGCGATAAGAGATATTGAATAGTTTTTTAATATAAAAGTCGCTCGAGACCGTTAGCGAAAAACGCTAACGCTTATATACGACGCTTATATTGAAAAAATAGCTAAGAAATTCGAACTTACGGACGGACGCTGCTTAGCAACTCTATTACCGTTTTATGACTTAATCAAAAATAAAAAGATAGCTTCGCGAAAGCAAGTGAAAGAATACTAAAAGAAAGTTAAATCCGTATTATATATAACGATCATACTACGCTTAAATATAGCTTTTGCAACCTTTCAACTCTTTTACTTTAATATCAATTTAAGCGCGGAGCACCTCCGAGCTGTAAACTAGTATCTACGATATTTATTTAGCTCGCGCTTTAAAAGTATTTAATATAACCAGTTCAGCAAATTAAAGCTAGTAATAGCCTTTAACGCTTTTTACGCCGATAACGAAAAGACAAAGCGATCTTTTCAAAAGTATATTATGTTTTTATTCGAAAGTACGATCTTTTAAAAAGCTTTAAAGCAAGATATAATCATTATATTATCTACTAAAGCGGAGCTTCTTAGCATAGCCCTTATAATAAAAGAGACTATAGCGCTCTAACGGTTTTTTAAGAAGCTGCACCTTCGTTTTACGACGCTTTAAGTAATTTATTATAATAATTAACAAATAATCAAGCTTATAGCTAATAAAAAAGAGCGTATTTTTACTAAGCTTCGTTACGTCGATATTTATAATATATAGCTGCGCTAAAAGCATTTTAAAAAGAACTTTTAAGTTTAATATCTTTTTATTAAAAAGATATACGCTAACGGTTTTATAAAAAACTTAACTCGACAAAAGTTTAAGAGCTTTATTAAGCTTTTAAATTTATAAGACGCTCGCGCGTTAATCGAAAAGCTTTAATAGCACGCATATATTATTCATTTATTATATTTTATTTTTTTTTCATTTGCACGTGATTTAAAAGAAAACATTTATTTAACAATCTTAATCGTTATTTTATTTTATCTTATACGCTTCTACTTTTCGCTTTTTATAATAAAAGATCGATCAAAGCTTTTAGCAATCTTTTTACTTTAGCTCGGCGCTCCGTAAGAGTTATAGCAACAGCGGGCGCCGCCGCGAGAGCGGCAAGCGCAACTGTTGGATTGCTTCCAAGCGATTGGGAATATATATTCGTAAGGTCGTAACGGTCGTCAAAGTACTTGCAATTGCAAAACACTCGGTTGATAAGGTATCTGAATTCTGTCTGCTCCCCAAGGCTCAAGGGAGCTGATTCCTTCTATACGATTAGAAGGAATCACGTGCACTAGCTAGCTAATAGATTTACTTGTCAAGTTGGAGGTCCCCTGACTGCTGACATGCTAAGCGAGGCATGCCAAGTGGCCCGTAAACCATGGTTCACGGGTGAGCTTCCCCAACTACTACTACTACTACTACTACTAGCTAAGGTCGATATAAATATACCGACACCGGCAACTCTCTCTTTAGCAAATAGTGCTTTGCCAACTATTATATCGACCGAAAAAAAAAAAAGAAGTAATTAAACAAAGGAAAAACAATCTCCCTCTTCCTTTTATAGCGGCCTTTCCACCCATCCATCGACTTGCACCTTCAAGGTATTAGTCAAAACTAGCTCTTGCAAAAAGATATTAGCTCCGATTTTAGTTATAGCGTTAGCAGGGTTAAATTTGCCTCCGATCCAGCGTACTTCAAAGAGCTCTCGCCTTTCGTATGACTCTCGAATAACTATAATATCGATTATTAAACGCTTCTCCTTAATAGTCCCTAGTTTTACTATGCATTCGTAAAGCGAGTAAGAGTCAATGCACACGATTACGAAGAAGTTAAAGATTCTTAACTGAACCGTGATTTAAGCAAAGGTAGTCGACATAGCAATAGCTATATCGATACTTAAAGACATCGCGTATAACTTAAAGGCTAATACTGCTCTTGTCACCCTCTTGCACTTTTGTAACACCTAATATAAGATATTACTCGTTATAATAAACTCGTTCTTACTTACGTAAGCCTTATTGCTAAAGATAACTACGAAACCGATTTAAAAGCTAAAGTCAGCGTTGTTAACAAACGCTCCGTCTACGAACACAAAGAGCTTCGCAGTCTTCAGGTCTAAGGGCACGTAATAGATCCTTCGAGTTAAGTGATCGATCAGCTACTAGATCACCTTATTAAAGGCTTTGTAGTCCTCGTCTTTCGGTTCCTAATGCTAAGCGGCCATCGATAGAGCGCAAGATGCCTTTAAGTAGCAAATAATAGCCAAATACGCCCTTCGGGCACGTTGCTCCAAGTACTCTTTAGCCCGTGTAGCTGAATCGAGCTTGATCACTACAAGCCTCTCACCCTGCCCCTTTTACCTAACTGACAGTCCGAACCCTTCTTTATCCAAGGATAGCTTGCATCTATTGAAAATCATTAGCTCGGCGTGTATGAAGGTCTCTATTTCCTTGCTCTTCAGCTTAGATTTAACCAGCTCCTTCTCCTCTTTTGCTCTTATAGCTAGATTAACAACTATAAGAACATCATCCGTTTATAAAGCAGCTATTCTTAGCTGATCCTTATTAGTTAATATAAAGAAGCAAGAATCAAAGCTCGATTGCCTTATCTCGAAGTTGTCCGTAAAATGCCTTAAAAAACGCTTATACTAATGCGTTCTTGCCTCGAAGATCTTATACAAAAGGCCAGTCATAAGGAACAAAGTGCTAAAAGAGAATCGATAAGTAATCTCTTTGAATAGTCGCACGGCGATTATTCGAATAAGCTTCGTGCTTAACTAAGTATAAGCTTAAGTGATATCTTTGCTACAGACTTAACACTCGTAGTCTTTTATCAAAGAGAGAGCTAAAGCACAATAGAGTCTTTAGCCCGCTCGCTACACCGTAAGTGACTCGGTAAGTACTTTCGTTTTACCTTTGTCTTAAAAAGCTTAGACCATTATACAAGACTTCTCGTATAGCGTAAGTGTTCTTTTGCTTTTGATCTTATTAACAAACTTAAATCCGAAGATCTTAGCGCCTTTAGCGCGTAAGTCGGTGCTCGAGATTACTTAAAAGATGCTTTAAGCTATCAATCCAGCCAATTCCTTTACTCTAGACTCTTGAAATAGTGCCTCGGAGCTCTTAATGATTCCTTCGGCTCGTAGCTTAACTAAGAGCTCATGATCCCGGCGTTCCTTGTCGGTAATCAACACCTCGGAGTCCTTAGTAAATAAAACGTAAGAATCGCCCTCCTCTTCGTCGAATACGGTCGAGATATTAAGATCGTACTTTTAATAAAGTATCTAGACTATTAATATTATTGACTTCTAAAGATTAACAAGTTAAAAGTTAAAAGGGCTGTTTGTTAGTCTTAACGAGCTTCTTAAATTAAGCGACCTCGGTAAATTAAGCGAATGTTAAGGTTTAAGCGAATTTCGTATTTCTAGCTCTTTTTCGCCTTCGCTCTAATCATCTTCCACCTCTTCTTTTACTTCTTCTTCTACTTCTACCTCAAGTACTTGCAATTCTTTTAGCAGCTTTTCAACTTCAGAATAGTAAGGTTTTATTAAGGTTGACTTGAATTCCGTAAGCCTCGGACAAGCTATTATGCACGTGTGCCCCTGCCTGCTAAGCAGCTAAAAAGAGCCCTTCCACCCTTGGTTTTCTCGCCACACCAGCACCCGTGAGCTAATAAAAAGGTCTAAGGTATGCTCCGTAATTAAGCCATTCTTCCTTTTAAGCGCGTCCTTAACCTGCCTCGCAGCGTAGCATTTTCGTACTTCCTTTATAGCCTTATTAATAGCAGCAGCACGCTCTTAAGTAGACGCGGCAAGTCGATCTTGCTCCGTCAGCCTCGATAAGGTCTTAAAAACGAAGAGTGTAAGAACCAAGCTATTAAGTCTAGCTATGTCGTTGATAGCTTTGATAGCCATTTGAAGCCGGTCTTCCTTTAAAGCTTTTGAAAGCTCTTTTGTGACGATCTCAAAAGCGCGTCGCACAAGGACGTAATAGCGTTCTACTAGCCCGACGCTATAATAAGCTTTTACAAGCATCTGCTTTAAAGTGCTGCTAATACCTTTAAAGTAACTTCGGAACGTTGCCGAATTAAAGTTAGTTCCGAGATCGTGCACTACGTTTGTAAAAGGTCCGACGTAAGTATTAATTTAATATCGATTAAATCCTTTAAATAAGTGCTATGCGGACATGCTTTTAAAGAAAGTAGCGGCTTGAAAATTAATAGAATCGCAAACGACGTGTAATACGTTCTTACCGTTAAAGTGTATTACGTCTACGTATACCGTATCATTAAAGTTAGTATCGTCTTTAAGTCTGATACTAAACCTTTTCGAAGAGCGTCCGAATACTTAGCAATAATAGCAAAACTTTTAAATGTTGTAAAGCAAATCTCGCTTAAATTCGTGCCCGGCCCTTTTAAGAACAGCAGCAAATCGACCTGTTAAAAGGTGGCCAAAACGCTTATGGATAATCCTTAATTGTTCTTCCGTAAAGTAGCAATAAACGGTCTCGCTTTCAGTACTATAATAAGTAGCAGCGTGCTCTTTACTCAATAGCATCCACACGTGCTCAAACATCCTTACTACTAGTATTTCTTTCTTCTCTTAGACTAGCACGTTCCGCAAGTTATTTAAGATCACCTTATGCTTATCTATATTAGCTAATGAAAGTAGAAAAGGTACGTCGCTTTTCACAACGTAAAACTCTACTTGACTTAAAAGAGTATTTAAGATAACTGCTTTAATAAAAGTAGCAAAGCCGATGCCGTATTTAACGGACTTCTCCTTTGCTTAAGATATATCCAATTAAACTTCGAAGTACTTCTTTTAAAGTGCTCGTAGCTAGAGCAAGCTAGCGATAAAGAAATTAGCTGCTCCGCTGTCAATCATAAAGCTTATGAACACGTTTTCAAAGTACTTAAAAGCTATATAAGTCTTTGCTTTACTCGCGAGCACACGCGGATCTTGCTCGAGCATCTTTTAAGTCTTTACTTAGCTAGTAAAAGCGTAGAATGCCGTTTGAATCTCTAGCTATTTGTATACTTCGTTAGCGTTAAAAGTGCTATAGGTAGTCACAAAACCTTCCGATATATTAGCGTAGCTGCCCGATTCGAGTAGCTCGTCTGATAAGCTTGCGATGAACTGATCGAATTCTTTCGTAGATACAAGTAGCTAGCCTTCGATCGACGCTACGTATTAAGAAAATTTGCTTCTCGTCATCTTTTTTGCGTCCTTAAAAGCTTAGAACTTGGCGACGGATGCCTTCTTTTCGTCGGAGGTGTGGTTAATACTTTAGCAACCTGGCTTTTTGCAAACAAAACACTTTTTCTCACCCTTAATAGCCTTAACAGCTTTCTTACTTCCGAAGTATTAGCGGTCTTAAATAAAGCATTCGTATTCTTCGTCCAAATCGAAGTTAGCTTTTAAAGTGTTGTGCTAAGAGCAAGTATGATCGTATAGCTCGTTAAAGCTCGCGTAAGCTCTACTCGCCTTAGCAAAAGGTCGAGAGGTCTCAGTTGCAAACGCAATAGCCTTGCGAATATCGGCAATTACAGCGGTAAAAGTAAAAGTAAGGTTTATTCGTGCAATCGTAGTCTTTAGCACGTTTTTACAAGCTGAATACAACTTATTAGCAAGACTTCGATCATCCTTTAAACCTGGTCGTAAAGAGCTTTGAATCCCTTTGAGCTTTTTAACGAGCTTCTTAAAGCACTCGCTAAGCGAGGTTCTTAGATTCTCTTTCTTAATCAAATCTAGCGAAATTTCTTTTTAGCGGTCGTATTTTGCTTGCCGCCGGTGGTTAGTCTCGAAGTAGTCTTTCACTGCAATAGCGTTTGCCTTAAAAGTCGGAAGTCTAGCCTTGATGACGTGATTATAATAAAAGGTTATAACCTCTTTTATAAATATAATCGAGAACGCCGCCAAGTAGTCCTCGGAAGTCAAACCGTATCGACTTGCTTAATCAGCAAAAATTCTTAATTGAGTCTTAAAGTCATCGTCGGGTCTTAAATACTTCAGCTCCTTAAGAAAGCTTCGCGCGAACAAAGCCAATTCCTTCGCTCTTAAGTGAAGGTCTGCTGTTCTTAGCTTAAGGAAATCGTCTCTATCATCGTTAAAAGCGCTTAAAGTGCCGTACGCAAGCGTGCTTTGCCTAGCTAATAGTCTGATCGGTAAAGGGTTACCGATATAATTGCCGGTGGTCCGTCCTTTTCCAAGGTCTTTAAAAAGCTCATTTCCGAATCCGAGGTCTTTTAAAAGTCCGTTTCCGAATCCTTTTAATAGTCCAAAAAGGCCGTTCTTACCTCTTCCGTGCCCGTAGCCTCGATCTCTCTGCCAATCTCTTCCGTTTCCTCTTCGTCGGTCATCGTTAAAATCGCTAAGGCCATTCGGGTTATCGGCTAAGGCTCTAGCTTAATGATATCCGTACTCTTAAGCGCGCTCTTAGCGATCCTCATACCCTTAATATCCTTCTTATCGATACGTAGCTTATTAAAAGATCTAAAGAGCTTATCGGTACGTCCGAAGGTGCTAGATCCCCCCTTCGAGTTGCTAAAATTAAGCACGGAAATCTGCACGCTATCCTTAATGAAAGCTGATTTTATCCGGAATGCTCTTAGGTTTTGACGAGTCCTTTTTTAACGTATAGCTGCTATTGCCTTGCGTATTATCAAGCTCGATTATGTTTTCGAAGCCGTTGTTGTTGCTACTCGGCCTTGGATTTTAAGAAACCCGATTGTAGCTCTTAAGAAAAAGGTTTAAGGGCCGCTAAAGTGATTTTAGCTCTTATATGATTAGCGTATTGCGTAGCGGTTGCTAAATTGAAAGCGTCGAGTACGCTGAAGTGCTTCGTCGTAGCCCTTCGTTAAATTGTATAGCGTAAGTCCGTAACTCCGTTATTTGCCTTGCTATCACCTTTATATTTTGCTCTATATTCCTCCTCTCTTTCGCAAATTCCTCGCGTAACCTTCGAATCTCTTCCCTCTCCTTCCTTGATACTTCCTTTTCTTTCCCTTTTAAACTTCGTAAAAGTAGTAGAGGTAGTTAAAGCGTATTATCTTCGTCGTCCGTAAGGTTTTCGGCGGTCCACCTTGAATCGAAGCTTAAAAGTGCTGCTTGCTGCTTTTTTATTTCTTAGAAGGTCCATTAGTGTTGCTGCTCGTCGTTCAAGAGCTTGACCATTTTATTAGCGTAGCCCTTTTGCTTTAAGGAGCACCACACGCCTTTAGACAGCAAGTGTTCTTTAAAGCTAATAAAAGTAGCAAACTTAAGGCCTCGTCCCGTATTGTCCCCCGTTATTATAAAACTGGTCCAATCTTAGCGTGAGAAAGCGTGCCGGAATAAGCTCCACAAATCGTAATCCCTCAACCCTTTACACTTCGCATCTAAGAAGTCGTTCACCATCGCTCGAGCCGTAATCTCACTGTCTAGCCTTGCGTATAGTAGCTCGTTTAAGTCAAATAAGATGCTCGACATCTCGTCGTCTGGTCCTTCCGAAAGGCTTAAGAGTCCTGGGTATAATAGTCCTTTTGGCTAAATAGCTAAAAGTTCCGTAAGTAGTGATAAGACTCGAAAGGTATAATACCCTACTGCTCCTTGTCGGCTGGACTCCTCACTTAAAGGTCCAGTTGCTCGATCGGCTATAGTTATTGTCTGCTCGTACGTAAATCGATCGTATTAGTTGGGTTTGCTATGTGTAGCAAGCGCGGCTCTACAGCTTTAAAAGTTGTATAAAAGTGACTTGGTTCGGAATCACTCTTCCGTAAGAATAAAGGAAAATCGGTAGTATAAGAAGCGACTTAGTACGGAATCGCTTTTCCGTTATAAAAAGAAAGAAGTATCGTAATAAAAGGTATCCTCGCTATAAAGTATTCTTAGCTTCTTTATGATTGATCACTTAGTAGTAAATCAACTACTGATCAGTGTTAAATTGCTTCTAAGCGATTAAGAATATATATTCGTAAGGTCGTAACGGTCGTCAAAGTACTTGCAATTGCAAAACACTCGGTTGATAAGGTATCTGAATTCTGTCTGCTCCCCAAGGCTTAAGGGAGCTGATTCCTTTTATACGATTAGAAGGAATCACGTGCACTAGCTAGCTAATAGATTTACTTATCAAGTTGGGGGTCCCTTGACTGCTGACATGCTAAGCGAGGCATGCCAAGTGGCCCGTGAACCATGGTTCACGGGTGAGCTTCCCCAACTACTACTACTACTACTACTACTAGCTAAGGTCGATATGGATATACCGACAGCAACGATTAGCGCAAAAAGAACGACGATAATAAATGCGACGAAAGCGACGGTAGCTGCGAAAGCGACGAGAGCAGCGAAAGCGACGAAAGCAATAAAAGCAATTATCGCAAGCGCAAAAGCTGCTATAGCAGCAGATTAAAGCTTTTGCATAAAGTCCGAAAGGAAGTTTTAATTAAAAAGAGCTGCTTAGATTAAATCAATTCGTAAGTCAAAGAGCTTGACTTACGAAAAGATGATATGCTCGAAGCGTTCCGCGTTATTAGATTACGGTTCGTTGCTATAAGACTATTCAATCTAATAAAAGCTATATTCAAATTAAAGGTCTTAAGAGCAAAAGCAAAACTTGCAAGGTTATCGAAACTACTTTTAAAACCTTTACTTTTACTCGCTAGACCGCTCGAACCACTAGCAGCACTTCTTAAAAAAGCAGCATTTAAAGCAAGCTGTTATCGCATAATATCTCGAAGACTTCGGCGAACTCTTTATATAGTATTATTGTTTTTAACGCTTACAAAGTTATCGAAAGCGGTATTAGCAGCAGCAAAAGCAACGGTGCAATTGCTATAGCTATTTTTAGCACATCGAAGATAACGAATAACGCTCGTATCGCAATTGTAGCAGTCTTTATTAAACTTCGATATGATCTTATTATTAATACATTTAATGCACTTTAAAGCTTTAACGGTCGTTAGCATAAGCAAGCGCTTAATAAAAAAGTTTAAAAGAAAAAGCGAAGCTTCGAAAGTAAGAGTACGTAGTATAGCCGCCGCAGCTGCCGCAGTTATAGCAATAGCAATAGCTAAAGCAAAGAAAGGATTCTCTTAATAGTTAGCATAAATATATTAATTTATTAAAAGCATTTACTTTTAAACGGCTTCGGCCGCGCTTAACGATTCTATTAAATTAAGTTACTTGCTTAAAAAGCATTGTGTAGATAAATAAAAGTTAAGTATTTGTTATAATAAAAAAGAACGCGCTCTCACTTATATAACAACGCGATAAAAACGGCGCTAAAGACTTCCGCTACGTGATAAGACCGATTTAAAAAAGAATTGCATTTTTAATTAACACTTAATCAATAATAACAACCGCTATTTGTTTATTTAAATTGCGATGATAATCTCTTTTGTTTATATCGAGTTTAAAAAGCTTAATCACTTATTTTTTTTCTTTTTTATTTGCTTGCAACTTAACAGCTACGCTACTGATTTAAAAAGTATATTATACGAAACAAGCATAATTCCACTTAAGCTATATGTGATATATTATATGACCTCGCTTAATAGCGCCCTTAGCATACTAGAGCTCTTAAGTACATGTACATAGATCTTGACGAGCTTTTTAAATAGAATATACTAAGCTTCATTCAATCCACAAAATCTCTTCCTGATCTTAATGCTAGTAAGCACTATAATCATGAACTTTCTTTTTTTTTTTTTTTTTTAATAATCTATGAATAGATTCATTTTTTAACTTGCGCTATAAGATATATAATAGTAAATTGGATTGTGGCGCTTTGTAATTGTTATGTATCTCACCGCGTGTTAAGCCCGCGAAATCCTATTTGAAAAAATCCAACTCGGTTATATAAAACGTAGTTTTAAAGTTCATTAGTCGTCACGCAGATCAGTCTAAATCGATAGCGAAATCTTTCTGAGATTGAAGTTGGTATATGCATAATTAATTGTGATTGTATATAGCCGTGAAACGAGTCGGAGATAAAGAGAGACTGATTAACCGGGCATTACATCGCTCGTTTCGCTCAAGTTAGATTTCTGCCGGTCCAAATGCGTAGTACACACCCTCTCCCCCCCTCATCAACTTAAAGAAAAAATATAAGAAAAAGGATAAGGAAAAGATAAGAAAAAAGATAAAACAAAAGATAAAACAAAGGATAAGAAAAAAGATAAGGAAAATATCATCCTACTAGAATGTCGAAGCCGTTACATGCAATCAAGCGACGTTTCTAACATGCTAACATGCTAACAATAATATACGGAGTGCGCATAACACGGAGTATATCCCTTTCAAGGTACGGAGTCTCGGGATATCTTATCGGCGATTGATTGGGGGCCAAAAGATCGTGACTTCGCATAAGTCAAAGTCAAATACAGAGCCTAGCCGAGCTGGACCGGACTCTGGAAATCGTATTAGCGGGGGGGAAAAAAGGGAAAAAAAAAAGACCATTCGGCAAGACCGCCAAAGGACGTACTCCCCAGATAATTCAATTAATTGACTAATTATTCTAATGGTCTGCGACGATGCTTAAGACGATTCTTTCTTTTTTAGTTCATTCTTGCTCTATTATAGCTAGTTTCATGAGAAACAGGAGGAGAAGAAGAAGAAGGAGAAGAAGAAGGAGAAGAAGAAGGAGAAGAAGAAGGAGAAGAAGAAGGAGAAGAACAAAAAGAACAAGGCTAGTTTCATGAGAAACAGGAGGGAAAGAAGAAGAAGAAGAAGAAGAAGGAGAAGAAGAAGGAGAAGAACAAGAAGAACAAGAAGAAGAAAAGCCAAGAGCTTCTTCGTTGGAAACACGAGAAGAAAAGAATTCCGTCTGTCACGCCGGAAAAAGCTACTAAGTGTTCAAAATAAGCGATGACAAACGTTGCGTTGAGCAAGCCAGCGGTAAGATAAGATGATTCGGTAATTGCGAAGAGCTGATATCAATGCGAGCTGCATTACCTACCTACCGGTACTCTTCTTTCATTGAACTGCATTGCATGGAATTACTCGGCATTTAGATTTAAGCTATTGCGGTATGCCGAAATTTGTTTGATCCATCCCGTTTGAGGCCTGGGAAAATCTTGAGCCAAGAAGGGCTTGGGGGTCTGAGCCATCCCAAACAAGGTCCATCGCTACATCGCTCGCTACATCGCCACGTACCAAGGGTACAAAGTAAATAAATCGTATACCGGACAGCGAAAAGCATCCGGCCTCGAGACTCGAAACCTTGGTTCCCATGTCCTCCCCATTTTCCGTGTTTCCCAGAGACCGGATTGTCCAAAAGCTTCGACCACCGTTTCCCACCAATCGTGAGTTTTTCCTGCGTCCGCTAACCCCTACCCCCAACCTCCGCGCGGGTATTCATCCCAATTTATTTGAACCTCCCAGGGCAGAGTAAGTAAGTAAGTCAGTGTCTCAGTGAACTTACCGACTAATAACTACTTACATATACAGATTATGCAATCAGTAAGTAATAGTATAAAGCTAGGTCTCCAAGCTCCCTTTTGATTGATTTGATTTTTTTCTCTGCATTTGTGGAAACCCCGTCGTCACCCTGTTACGTATTGACTTGCCTTCGACCCTCTTTTTGACTTATATTTATTTCTTCACTCGTTTTTGTTTTAACTCCTTCGTCTTCTTCCTCTTCCTCTTCTTTCTCCACACGTACCCGACCGACCGATCAGCAAGCAAGCAATTCAGTATGCATTTCTCCGGCTTGTACTGCCAGTTGGCGATCGCGGCTATGGGGGCACTTGCATCGCCGGTGGACGTCGCTGCGAGAGCTGTTGCTGTTGCGGAGAGAGCGACCAAGCCGGCGGCCTTCTTCCTGGTGGGAGACTCGACCACGGCGGCCCAGAAGGGGGGCAGTGGTGGATGGGGGGACGGATTCCTCGGCACGCTCGTCGACGGAGCTAAGGGGACGAACTTTGGGGACAATGGAGCGACGACGGTCAGCTTTGTGGAGGAAGGCTTTTGGGACCCGGTCATGGCAGCGCTCAAGGAAAACGTGGCCGATTTCGATTGCTATGTGACCATTCAGGTACGGCCTTGCCTTTCTTGGGCTTGGGAATTTCCCCTTGCTCCTCTGAAGAAGATGAAGATGAAGAGACTGTTGGGATAGGCAGACGGATTATTGCCGGGCCTAACATGTATGGCAAGGCAGAAGGAAAGAAAGGAAAGAGAGAGAGAGAGAGAGAAGCGTCTTATACTGACATCCTTATCATATAGTTCGGACACAACGACCAAAAGCCCGCGAAGGGCATCTCCATTGAACAATACTCCACCAACCTTAAAAGTAAGCAAGTAGCGCACATACTGCGACCTCTCGGCCACAGCCAAACTTTCAAGCCCCCCTTGCACCCCACTTGACAGAACTCTCGAGACATTCACTTCAATCTCAAACGGAGCAGAGGCTGACTCTCGGGAACCAAAAAAATAGATTTCGCCGACCAGGTCACCGCCGCCGGAGGAACCCCCATCCTCGTCACCCCGCTGGCCCGCCGCAAGTACAAGGGCGACGTCGAACTCGATCTGGTCGACCAGGTGACCGCCACGCTGGCCGTAGCCACCGACAACAAGGTCGCCGTCATCGACCTGAACGCCGCGTCGATGAAGTACCTGAACGCCATTGGCGAGGCCAACGCCCGGAACTACGACCCGGAAGCGGGCGACGAGACGCACCTGAACCCTGCCGGGACGATCTTGTTTGGGAACATGGTCGCCGGGTTGATCTCCGAAAGCCAGGTCGGAGACAAGGTCAAGGCCTTCATCTCGGAGGATCCGGTGATTGCGGCTGATATTGCTAGTATGTTCCCTCTCTTCCTCCCTCTTCCCGCCCCCGGCCCCCCACCCCCTATTTTCTGACTCTCTGTTGGCAACGAGTTTCTTGATTCCTGCCCCTCGAATGTGTGAAGATGCTTCTTATAGGGTACCTGCTGACTGCGCGAATTAGGTGGGACATATGTTCTTCCTTCTGCTTAATTAGTGCAACGAATTTTTTGGAGTTGTTCTTCGTGGAGGCATTTGATATCTTTCATGAGAACGGCCGAAAAATATTCTGGATGTATATAGCTATATACCATTCCAAAGTTGACAATGGATGTTATGCAAGATTCGTCGCTAGTCTTGAACGCAGCCTGGTACCAAACCGCTCTTTCCTTCCTCCCTTCTTTCTTTCTTTCTTTCTTTCATTCTTTCATGATGGTGAGCACACATATATAATCTTGATCGTCGCAAATTTCGGAAGCCAGCTCTCCTCACCAACCAATATGTCAGACTCCACCCTTCTTCACCATAGCGCACGGAGATCAGCTGAGAGAAGACCCCAACTACCCGCTATCCGGCCCGGTGTTCAGTCGCTCCATATCTACCGACGCCGAGCTCCCCTACCTTCCAGTTCAATCTTTCCACGCAATCAAAGATGTCTTCGTTTCGTCACCAGCAGGCTACGCGGCCTATCATGCTTTGATCCAGCAATTCTTCGAGGACTGCGGGGATCGCTAGGCTTGCATCAACTGCAACGATGTTCACGGTCTCGATACCGATGCTAGTGCAAAGTGTAGGTGAAGGCGTCTAGGTCCCGCTCCCATTTTCAAGTCAGTCAAGTCCCTAGAGTAGAAGACATGCGCTTTTCCGAGCCGCAACTTCTAAGATGATTTTTTTTTTTTCGGATCCTTCAATTTTGTCTGCGGAAGGAATGGAAGGAGCTGACTTATATATATACATATATATGTTCCAATGGAAGTGTCGAGCCAAGTCCACGAGCAGGCGTGTATGTCGGACGAGAACAGCCCGCAGAGAGATTTGGACCGATGGGTGCAGATGGCCCGGTCGGTAGAATACGAGTGCCTAGCTGCAACAGATACGTTCTACGGACGACAGAGGTCGTGTTGGATGTGGACGCGGACGTGGCTATGGTCGTGCTCACGGCAGTAGCAGAGGCAGAAGAGATTACCGCGGAGAAGGTGGTGGCCGAGAAGACGGCGCATCTAGATATGCTCAGACTGGTCGGGGAGGGCGCGATGGGAGAGGCCAATGCAGCCCACCAGGTGGCGAACCGCGTTGGCCGTAGAGCGACACCTGGGGTGGAGATGGAAATGGTGCGGCCGAGGGGCTTCAGAGCTTGGGGACACACGTAGGTGCTACAGATCTCCCTGTTTGGTATGAAGACCCATAGACGTCCAGCACTCACTGCTAGGATCTGGTAGCGGGCGCAAAAACTAATATCTTTGGTACTCAGACTACGAGGGCCAATGTACTGTTAGAAGATACATGATATGCAAGGGTGATACCTGCTTGTTGTCGTTGTCACTTTGCTCCATCTCAATATGGCATAGACACGCAAAGAGGATCGATCCTTGTTGGTAATAGTGCGCATTGCGGAATACGCTGAAGCGCAACAGAAAGAAGACAACACAACGTCGCTTGCTGCTCTCGTTTTGTATAACATCGAATGAGCTTGCTAAAATCACACGAAACTTCACCTCTGAACATGTACCCGTAGCTGTAAGCCCATCATCGCAAGAGCTACTAGCCAGAAGAGGAGGGGTAAGCGAGAGTCGTCTCTTCTGCTGCCTCTTTCCCTACATGTATATATCGGAGGACAAGAGCTACCACTCACCAGCTACCAACTCCTGTATGCAGGTGGCCTCGGTATTCTTCATGCCTTCTTTCGTGCTCTCCCTTGTTATGGAAAGGTGGCCTGCGACAAGCTCTGAGGCTATCGTGCTCACCAACACTGGCAAGAACACCGTTGCAATTGAACTAACCAAGTCCAGCTCGGACCATCTCAGAAAAACGAAAAGTCGAAGAATATGTTCTGGTAATTCGCTGGAATTCAATATGCGGTGCTGGCTTTGGACCTGCCGCTCTACATATACGGTGCCTGCGTTGCGGACGAAGGCGAGAATCTTGGTTTGAAGCGCCAATTAGCTACGTGAATTATCGGTTAGTAGAGATATCGGAATCAAAGATGTATATAGATATATATATATATATATATATATATATATCTATATATGAATATGTCTATACGATAATAGGACTGACTGATCAGAGAGTGGAAAGGTTTGATAAACCCGGAACAACAGCGAATTCGATCCACGTCGCTCGTCTCACGAGGAATTAGACGACGATGTATGTAAATACCCAGCCAAACTAAACAATAATATCCAAATCATGAGTCCTTCTAGGCGCTGGTCCAAAGGAGAGCGGCATGTAGCGCTGTCTGGCCGGCTTGACCTGCTCGCGAAGCAGAATGTCGCGGGCGTGCTCGAAGGCGTCGTGTCTGAAGTTGTTTTCCGTGAACTGCAGATGGTCCATGACTTTGCCGCCGTGTTTGCCTCGGGGGGTCTTGAATGCTGCCTGGCGGCTGAAATCTTGGATCATTGTGGCTCGGTTGTATCGTGCTTGCACGTAGAGCTCGAGTCTCTTGGGGATGTCTGACACCTGAGTGCCTAATGGCAACAATGCACCGAGCGCTGCTGCGTCCTCGATCGCTTGCGCGCCGCCTTGACCCCTTCAGAGGATAAGAGTCAGCAAAGAAATATGGATCTGTTGGGGGCGTTTGGTTTGTTACATACTGGTGAGGCAAGAATGCGTGTGCCGCATCACCCATCAGAGCAATCTTCCCGTGCACCCAGTTCTCCTTCCCCAACTCGTCGTGATCCAACAGCTTCCAGAGATTGATCCCTTTGGGATCAGCCTTTGCAAGCAGGGCCTTGACGTCTTCCGGATATGAATCGAAGCATCTCAACATGGTTTCTTTGGACGCCTGCTGGTCCCAGTCATCTCTATTCGCTTCCGACTCCTCATCCGGATGCATGGCAACGAAGTTCAAGTACGTGTTCTGCTTGCATGGGTACACCACGATCCGCCTGTCTGCACCATACAGCAACATAAGCTCGCCCGTACGCTCGACGAAGTGTGCCGTCTTCGGATCTGCGCGAATCTCATCGGCGGGAATAAGAAATCGGAAAGCACTCGATCCTGATGGCTCAGGCGGAGGGAGGTCTTTGATGAGAGCGCCTCTGATCCTGGAGTGGATGCCATCGGCTGCGATGATGAGATCTCCCGTGTGCGTCGTTCCATCCTCCAAGGTCAGAGACGGAGCTTCTGGGTCAACTTTCACCACCCGACTTCTCAGGTGCAGGACTGCGGGCTTTCCTTTCCCCTTGGCAGATGTAGCGATTTCCTTGAGAGAGTTGTGGAGATCAACTCGGTGGATCAGTTGCCAGGGGTTAGGGAAGACTTTGGACAGCATTCGAACATCTTGCAAGAATATTTGCTCCCCGTTTGGTCGAGTCTCGGATACCCATTCGCATTGATTGGCTCCATGTTCTTCTGGGATCATGCCCATTCTCCGTAGCAATCCGTTGGCATTGCTGGGGATGTGGATAGCTGCTCCAGTCTCAGATGCGAATCTACTTGATTCGAAAATCTGTGGACGCTCAGTTATCCGCTCTTTGCGATTACTCATCTTTGACCTACCTCAACTGTATGTCCAGCGTGCCGTAAGAATATTGCTGCGGAACATCCACCAATACCGCCTCCAGCGATCAAGATCTTGAGAGGCCGGTCCTCGTTTGCTGCTGCACCGTCGGTGATGGGTACGGTAGTTCCGATCATTGCAATAAGCGAAATGGGAAGAAACAAAGCTGGTGGTAGTAATGGTAAAGTGTTTGTGGAGTCGACTTATAGGATTGATAATTCTTAGAAAGTCGTCTTTCGCGATATTGCCACTGCTGAACGGTAACACGGGGGATACAGAGATGGGTGAATGATTGATTGATAAGCTGATACATGCAGAGAACAGCCCCTTACTTATACATCTGGAAAGGTCTTGACACGTGATAGGTCTATTACCCAATCATAGTTTTGACTCGTGATAAGTCTATTCCCTGATTATATCTGATATGTTTATTCAAAGCCTGTTTGAGTAAAGAGACTCTTACTACGTACTAAAGTTGATGAAAGAGGCTTTTATTAAAGTTGATGTAAAGACCTTCGGCCAAAACGAAATCAACTTGCGAGGGAGCGGGGGACTATATAAAGCTTAAGAAGATGTTAGAATAATAACTTATGATTAATAATTATCGAAAGTAGAGGTTGGAAGGAGACGTAAGCTATGTACATAAAGATTGGTTATCGTTAATCTCGGTAGGTGGCGAACTTCAAAAAGCGCAAAAAAAAAAAAAAAAAGGCATTAGTTAAAAACCCTAGCGCTCGTAAGAATATCGCTTATAAGACTTAGCGTATTATTACATTATCTTTCGTTTGAAAAAAGCACGTCTTTGAGCGTTTATCTATTGATTTAGTTTTGCTTAAATAATCGTACTTATTAATACCGTTCGAGTAAGCTTTAGTCTATGGAAATCGGAAGCTAAGTATTATATGAAGTTGATATCGCGACTTACGTAGTAGCTAAAAAGCACGGCATTCGAAATGTTTCTTAATCTGGCGCACGGTAAAGATGTTTTTTATTTCGTATTCGAGTTCATTAATAATAGTAATAAGTTTCAGCTTCGAGATAATTTGACTCGAAGTAAAATCATTTAAAGCTTTGCGTAGCCGTTTAAAGTTAAAAACTGAATGAACTAGTACTACGGAAGTTCTTTGGTAGGGGTCCGTGCGCGCTTTGGCCTTGGCATTTCTTGACCGAATGGTCCATTCTTATCCCTTCATATAAAGCTGAAAAAGAAAAGGTAAGAAAAAGCAGCGTTAGAATACGTCGCAGGTGTAAGTATTACCCCTCGAGGGTAGGGTAACCAGGGGGTTTAAAGTGGAAACTAGACTTTTGAGGCACCCTCGAGGGGTAATACTTAGGCCTGTACCGTGGTACTTGAAGATTAGAATTTAAACTTGTTCGATAGGCTTTTGCTACGTACAGTAGTACTACGTATATTCCCGATTTAACAAAACTTTTCTCCGATGTGCTTCGACCTTCTCGAAAATCTTATTTCCTTTGGTAAAAACTCTTATTCGTACCTTTAAAGGATAACAATTACGCTTGGGACGTAGTATGACGTACTACGTACTTTTGATAGCCTTAACGAAAGTAAATAATTAAGCTTCATTATTTTTATCGAAAGCTTGAACGTAAATTCTAATTCAACTTCAAATGATTGGGCACTAAGCTCTTTCTACTATCCCCCTCCATAAATACTAGGTACATATCGGATCCAGTTTAGGCCCATAAATCGTAGAGCGCTGGTTTCTGAATGGCTTAAAGCCCTGCCAACTCATTTGCACAGAGTAAATACTGATCTACTACGTAAACATGTACGTAGTAATAATGGTACTTTTCAAGGCTGGATTTTTATACGTAGTAATACGTACCTTAAAGGTAGGTAGGGGGTTATTTAAACCGTCAGCTGATAATCCGATGACGGTCTCTTTAAAAGACGATTCCAAGAGGTTAGCATAGTTAGTAGATCACTTTAAGCCGATACTTAAAATTGAATAGAATCTGAAAACAAACGATTTAAATTATTTAAATCGTAGCTAAAATAAAATTATTCAATCGATTAAACCGTTTTTTATAAAAGCTCGTCTATTCGTTAAAAGATTATTATTGAAATAAGACCGTTTTGATCGATTAAATCGTCGTTTATAAAAGTCGGTCTTTTTACGAAAAGACCGTTTTAAGACCGTCTTGTAGCCGTTTTGTAGCTGTCTCAAAGCCGTCCCCGAACTTGAAACCGTCCTCGAAAACGTAAATTAGTAAGCAAATAATCTTTATTTTCTTTCTATTGCATAGCAGTCTACCTTCTACTAGATATACCACCCTCTATTACACCACCCCTTTACTATACCTCCCCGTCTTCGCAAGCGATCAAGAGCATCACTTGCGCGGTTGAACTTTTGCTCAATCGATCGATTCCGATTATAAAAAATTCAAAGCGTTGATATACAAGCCGTAGCAGCGATACCGAGAAATATCTTGGCATCGAATCTATTAAATTATTATTAAAACAATTCCATTTAAAAGATAATTTTTATTTACAGCTATTTTTTTAAAAAATAGTTATCGAATTATTTTAATTTTTTAAAACGAGCTTATTAATAAGCCTATTTTAAAAATGTAAACGAAAACGGCCATGGGACGGCTTTAAGACGGTCTTAAGCTCGGGGACGATCAAAAAGATAAATTATTCCTGATTTATAACTAGTACTGATTTTAAACGGTCCGATAACCATCTTTTATATAGTAGTAAGAGAGTCAGAGGACCGCTTAAATGACCCCCTACCTGCCTTTAAGGTAGTACTGGGAAAGAAGAGATCTAAGATACTACGTACAAGAAGAGATACTACGTAAGGTAGGTTCTCTGTTAAAGGTCCGTGCGCACCTTGGCCTGAGCATTTCCTTGGCCGAATTGTTCATTCTTATCCCCTCACACTTTATCTCCTGATCTTAAATCGATCGAGACGGTTTGGTTATACTACTACCTACTACGTAACTAAAGGGTTTAAAATGGAAACTAAACTTTTAAGGCACCCTCGAGGAGTAATAGTACTTACGTAGTACGCCTGGGACGTACGTAGTAGGTAGTACTTAGGCCTGTACCGTGCGTAATCGAATGCAATTAAAAACCTTCGTAAGTGATACTATTGCAAAATAGGCGAATCTAAGTAGTACGTAGTATTACTCCTCGAGGGTGCCTTAGAAGTTTGGCTTCCACTTTAAACCCTTTAGTTAGTAGTAGTAACTAAAGGGTTTAAAGTGGAAGCTAAACTTTGAGGTCCCTTCAAAAGGTAATACTTAAACATGGTACGTACAGTAGTACTACGTACTACATTACTACACTTCTCGAAGGTGCCTCAAAAGTTTAACTTCCACTTTAATTTTTTTTAATTATCTTATCCTCGAGGGGTAATACTACGTAAGGTACTTAGGCCTGTACCGTGGTAAATCGTAGAGCGATGATTTCTGCAAAGCTTAAAGCCCTGTTAATTCCATTGCAAAGACTTAATACTAGCTCAAAGATACTTTTCAAGGCTGATTGAATCTTTACAAGTTGATCGGTTTAAGACCTGATAAGATCCCTTGCAAAATTATACTTTCGATATGCATTCATAAGAAGGTTATTCATAAGAAGGTTATTCATAAGAAGGTTATTCATAAGAAGGTTATTCATAAGAAGGTTATTCATAAGAAGGTTATTCATAAGGTTTAAGACCTAATAAGATCCCTTGCAAAATTATACTTTCGATATGTACTACGTATCCATACCCACGGTACAGGCCTAAGTAGTAGTAAGTTCATGTACTACTACAGAATAGCACCTACCCCATAGAATTACCCTCATGTCGGACCGACGACCTCTTCTATCCTCTCGAGCTCCAGCCGGAGCAAAACTCTCGGAACCGACTGACTCAGGTACATACATACGTAGTACATACTACGTACTACTAGTACGTACGTAGTAAGAGGGGAGAGTACATATCGAAAGTATAATTTTGCAAGGGGTCTTATCAGGTCTCAAACCGATCAACTGACATATACAGTACAAGGATTCATTCAGCCTTGCAAAGTATTTTTAAGCCAGTATTTAGTCTGTATAATAAAGTTGATAGGGCCTTAAGCTACTACGTATTTAGAAATCATCGCTTTACGATTTCTAAAGCTTAACTGGGTCCGACATTTATTCATAAGGAGAGATAGAAGATTATTGCCTGTTACATTTGGAAACCCCGGGCTAGATTCGGACCGTCTTTCCGAGCTTATTCCCAGCCAATTCGGAGCCTTGGGCATGCATATTCGCTCCGATCGAGCCCCGGGTATTCCTTTATTTCGATCCATCAACCTTTTCGACCTCGGAGCGCTTCTTTGGCTAATTCTAGAAGTACAGCTACCACGGTACAAGCGTAATTGTTACACCCTTAGGGGGTGCCTTAAAAGTTTAGTTTCAACTTTAAAGCCCGTGCTTACCCTATCCTTAAGGGTGTAATAAATTACGCCTGGGATGTAGTAATTTTCAGCTGATTCGATGCCCCGTTCATCGTTTCTCTTGTCATTATACTACGTACGTAGTATTTGATAGAGACGCTTTGGGCTAAGCTTGCTAAGCGTTTTCTTTGATTTGGCCAGCTGCTTTGCTAGTCCAATGTGACGACCTTAAGCGATTACCTGAAGGAACTCACGGGAGCCTAAGCATACTCTTCGGCCGATAAAGCATAAATATTTAATTCGAAGAATACGTATGCTCTCTATCGATAATCTTTTCGAAAGTATATTGCGTCTAAGAAAAGCTTACGTAAGAAACGTAGACTTGGACCTTCTTCTTTTGCTCGAGACCTTCCCCTTCCTCCTCCTCTTTTTCTTCTAAGTGCACCTCTCATAGAAGTTAGAAATTCGGGTTTAAACCCCCTTTAATGCATATTCTTAGACCTAATAATTCTTATAACTTTTGTGACTTGTATAATCTTGTAACCTCTATAACCTCTATAACCTTTATAACTTTTATAAATTTTATAACTTTTATAACTTTTAT